TGCTTGAGGGAAGGTATGCAATAAAATTACAGCTTTCTGGGCATCAAAATGTCTTATTAAGCTTTGTGAAGCATGTACACCATAACTCAGAAGCTTAAGCTCATTGGTATGGGTAAATTCCCCATATGACAGTCCCAACTGCAGTTTCCGGAGAACAAAGCCAGATTGAGTTGTAAACCCTTTGTCACGTTGGCATATGCAATATACTCCCCCTGAGAAAGTCTTCTCCATGAAGAACTACCCCACTGTGTGAAAAAAAAATCCACAAAAATTCATGACTTAGCTCACCGGGACCATAAAATGAATACAGTAAAGAAGCAACATGAGCCAAACAGACTGAAGTAAACCAGGATACAGTCTAATCCTAGTTTTGTTATTGCCTTACTATATGTGACAGTCAGGTCTCAATTTTCTCACCAGTAGAATGACAATAATGTGACTTTTAAAAAAATTATTTTCTTGATTTTCTGAAGAAGTTTGTAATTTATAGCTCAAAAAACAAAAGCAAAGAGAAACAATAAGATCAAGGAGCACTGAGAAAACATACAGCAGCGATCCAATAAGAATGTCCCCCTGCTGCATAAGACAGTATCACAAATGTCATGCCCCAATGAAACAGGAGTGGGTGTTCATGGATTGCATCCTGAGAACTAGGACATTTGTCACTGCTGTATACTGACCCCAGGCCACTTCACTAAAAATTACGGCAGGCACTAAAAATTTACTGAATTTCCCAGAAAACACTGGAAAGAACTTAATGCATTCTGTGTATTATTTAGTGGAAAATAAAGAGTGTTAAAATTATCACAGAATCACAGAATATTTGTAGTTGGAAGGGACCTACAGGGACCATTGAATTCAACTCTTAAATGAATGGCCTGTACAGGGACTGACTCTGTGACCATGACATTATTAGCACCATGCTCTAACTAACTGCACTAATTAATGAGAAAATAACCTGATTTTAGCATACCATATTCATATACCAGTTGTTCTCTAAATATCTCGCATCTGCTGCATTAATGTGAGAAGTATGGAAGTCCACTGGTTGGGGAACAGGACAGATTGTTCTCACACACAAATCCTAACAGGAATTTTACCCCAAGCAGGTCTTGTAACTGACTCCCACTGTAATTGCTGTACTCTGGAATTCAGTATTTTAAAGTCATCAGCAAACAAAGGAAGCTGATACATGTAAGTTTCTCATCTATATTTCTCCCTGTATTTGAAAACTAACTGGGCTGTCCTTAGAGTTTTTCCATCTACCTTTCTTTATAGCAGTTTCATCAAGGCTTAGCTAACTCCCTGAAATACTTAAGGGATCCTTAACAGCCAAGAATGTATCCTTAATATTTTTTACATCTGCCACAGACCTTTACCTATAGTACTATTTCCCATCCCTGCAACACACATCCATGAAATAAATTAACCAGAATTTCCATCTCCAATTATTTCAGAGTAACAGAAAATTGGATCTCTGATACATATAATCTGATGTAACAGGATGGGGGAAAGAGAGAATATGAGACTTGTTTTGAAGTGATTTACAACACAGCAAGAATGCCAGTGTCAGTGCACGGTATTCTTTATTTTCATGGAGCTGTCAAACTGAGTAAAATGCACTGGAAGTCAGAGGAAAATAAAAGTTGTGTATTTGGAAGACACATTCACAAGATTTTGGTAGCTTAAATTTGGCAGGTGGCTGTTAGAATGAAACCTCATATTAGAACCAAATGGGCTTTAATATTGCATGTCTGCGACAAAGCAACATCTCCACATGCCCCAGTTCTCCTCTTAAACTGTGGTCTCCAACACAACTTAAGTAGCAGCCAATACTTCCAGCCTCAGGGGTTTTCTGAAAAGTGCATTTTCATGTGTATGTTATAAGCACATGTGATAGCTTAAAGAAAATAGACTAGATGCTGATTTGATTCACACTGAGTTAATTCTTCAAAGGCTTCAGTGCTTCTATACTTCATTTTCCACAGTGTGACCACAGCAGACTTCTGACTATTGTCTGTTTCTCCTAAAAGGAAACTATACACCAGGATTTTTAGGGTAAATGGCATTGCTCCTGACATGTTTATCACTTCAGACTAAAAAAAAATCCTACCTTTGAAAAAGCCAAAGACCAATATAAGGAAATGTTTTCAGAGAGCAGGATACTGGCCATTCTTTATAGCTGCACACATGGGTAAAATATAAAAATGACAGCAGATGTTTATGGGAACATAATTTATGGCAACAATGCAAAAGGAAATAACAGAGACACACTCTTCCACCTAGGACTGTTGTCATTCTGGATTCATACTACTTTCTTCATGTCTTGCTCTATCTATTCTTTTGTGTCTGTAAACACTTTTCAAAAGCTTTCACTTTGTCTACACAGGTGCCTGAATTTAAGTCTGTCAAACAACTTTATAGAGTAAACAGCTCCCCTCCAAGGGCTAGCAAGCACAAAGATATCACCTGTACCTAACCTGAAGTTTCACTAGGTTTATCCTAGATTATCCTAATGCCCCACTTTCATAAATTTAAATATCTCCAGTGGTTTCCACATGACTCTTTGGCCTTCAGTTATGTTTCCCGGAAAACTTTTTCTTCTGACAGGTCAAGAAAGCTGCACTCTCAGACTGCAGTTTTCCTAACAGGCAGGAAGCTAACCTCCTTTGAGCTATAGAATAAGCAGCACATATTTTTTTAAGAAGAGTCAACTTGGTATTACTGTGTTTCAAGGCTGCAATAAACACCTCAGACTCTGTATGTGTTCCTGAGGCTCAGGCCTGATGGCAAGAACCAAAGTCTTCTTTCAGTACTGGCTAAATTCCCACTGGGTTCATTCCTAAATGAGACCACGCTTATATAGACTGACAGAAAGTTTCTCAGAGCAATGAATGTAAAATTCTGCTCCGGCATCTCAAGGGTGCTGTTTTACATAAATATGGCTATGTATTTGCATACATGTCCTATTCCCGCGGAGCTGGGCGGGTTGTGCTGCGGATCACACCGTGATAATTGCTCTGACATGTAACGCTGCGTGTACTGTTAGCACAGCCACAGAAAGGGGCACCACTGCTTTGCAGCTATTTACCCACCGTTTACCCAGCTGACAACATTTTGTATTTCCTATTTATTTAGCTTAAGGACTAAATTTAAGCAAACTTGCAAGAAAATTCGATGTACGAAAGTAATGGTTCCAGCAGGATCCCAGAGCCTGGTGTTCCTACAGGATTTCTTGTCCAGCTTTCTAGCTTCTCATGCTATTAAGCATTCTTTTGTTTTACACAGCACTTCAGGTGGTAATGGCACAGAGGCCTTCAGTAGAACTGCTTTCTTTCACTGACCATCTTTATTTCACTCATAGGAACAAATCACAATTCTTCCAGTTTGCAAACAGCTTGCAGAATTTGTCAGGCATGTGAGGATCTTTCAAAAAAAGACTGTGGCACTTGATAATGCTGCTCCAGCAACAGAAGCTAAAGGCTGCTGTACAGGAAAACTTCAGGAGAAAATATATCCCTGCTACAGAAAGATGATTATCCGTTGCAAAATTTTATATATTTATTGACTATAATCACTTTAGCTTTCTGCATTCACCTGTCATTCTGGAAGAATTGCTTATTACACTGTGGTACTTATCGTTGCTTTATAATGAGGTTTGCAAACACTGGAAACTGGACAGATTTTTTTTCAAGCTGCCAGCTAAGGAAGTTTTCAACCTATTACACAATATATTGAATAACAACTATAATAATTTAAGAATTTGGACTCCACCAGAACTATTGATTTATTTCATAAGGAAAAAAACACCAGGAAATAAAGCCGTAACTTAATATATGTAAGTCAAATTAACTAATTTAGGTAAATAAACAGGTTTTTAAAAGGAAGTTATTAAATTATATATATGTATACATTAGAGAAGAGAGCAGGATGCAATGCTTTGGATGCTTCTTTGAATACTATTCCAGAATGTCTTAATAGAAAACTTCAGACTCTAAAATATAATCTTGCAAAGTAATTATATCCACATATGAGAATAAATTGTTGGGGATTCTGACTTGGCTTTTGAAGGTATCAGTAGCTCCTAACAAAACAAATATCTGAAATTGAGAGCTTTATTGAAATAAGATGAATCTACCCAGCACAGAGCATTTGAAAGTTAATGTTCAGCTTTGTTTTAAAGAAAGGAAACCCTAAACTAAGAACAATCTTGCATTCTAGTCTCAAAGTTGTTATACTTCTCTTGCCCCCTCAGCTTGCCACACTCCTTCCTCCAAGTCATTAATAAACACATCATTTATAGGCAGAACGTAATATTCCAATCAATTTCTACTTGTTTTAGTGGCTGTGTGTAAGCAGATTATTTTTTCCAGACAACTCGTACTCCAGAGGAGCACAAAGGACACACTTCAGACCCTTGTAGTCCCAACATGTGTGGTTTCCTCACGCTGGGAAAGCCTGGAAGCCAGCCGCCTGGCCTGGTGCCAACCCAAACTACGGTCAGTCTAAACACAGCACCAGCAAGTGCTGCTCTTTGACACTTCCCTGCTATTTTTTGAACACACATAAATTATATATGTTCCTTTTCCGGGTTAAGTAAAGGTGGCCCGTCCACCTTGGACAAGTCCGGTGAATTGGTCCAAATCAGATGTTAATTGACGCGTTATGAAATAATAAAATTCTGTCCCTACTCACTATCAGCTACCTAACTGGCTTGTGGCTGCCCCACGTCCCTAGCTGTCGTCTACTGTATTAAAACAAAACAGTATAAAAAAGAGCACTATGCAATCATACAAAAATAACAACAATATCAAAATCCAAAACAAAACAAGAAGTACATAAACTAAGCATCTAACCTGAATTACATAACTTTCTGGCCCTACTGGCAAACATATGTACAATGTCCACAGATGAAAAGAGCGCAGCTATGGAAAAAGTCTCTGCAATTTTCACTTGCCTCGATTTGGAGAGGCCAAGCTCAGTCAAAAGTTCAAAGTTACCTTGGTGCCATTTCCCCCGCGCTCCTAGGGGAAAGCCCACAAAAACAACGTCCTTTGCGTTGGTGAGATTTCTTACTTCAGTTTCTAGGTGTTTGTACTTGTTCACTTTCTCTGCAGCGGCTTCCTCCAGCAATGATTTGGCTGCTTCGTATCGTATTGTTACATCCACGACAAGTGCACAGCATCTTTCACAAATATCAAGGACTACTGCAGTGTCACAGACAGTTTAAGTGAGGCTCAAGGAGCTGTACATAATTTTAACTACGTTTTTATGGGTAATTAAATGATGCATGACATGTAAATAAGCTTGCTGTACTGAAACTTAACTAACTAACTGCTCTGATGCAACAGTCAAGCATCTCATCGGTTATAAAATGAATCAGGTTTAAAGCAAAAACAATATAGAGAACAGAATGCATGACATTGTAAAGCAGCATGTTCCAAGGACCATTTCTGAACATTAAGCAAGTGTACTCATCCAGTCAAATTTTCAAAAGAATTCCTGGCACCAAAATATTCTCTGTTTGCTTTTTCACTATGTTTAAAGAATGGATCACTCTTAGGGGGAAGAAAATCTTGTGCACGGAACACTGCATGAAACTAAACAATCCTTTAAACGTGGCTAATTTCCATATGGAGCTGATGATTTAGCACTGTCATCCTTCAGCAGAGGAGAAAGAACTGACTGTCTTTAGTTTACTTATGCAAGCTGAAAAAAGTGAAGAGTGTGAATTTGATCTTGCTTCAATTTACTTCAGTGGCCAAACACTTGCCATTACTTTAGTGGGAGTGAGGCTGCATCTTAATTCTTTCAATGAGGAGAAAAACAAATCAGCTGAGAAAAATGTTCTTGTTTATTAGATTTAAATTACTACAATAGCTGTTTTTAACAGTGCTAAGTAAATCCTGTTGTAAAAGCCAAAGGTTATTTTCAGTTGTGCTTTTTTCTATGTAGTATGTTACAATGCAGGATTCCTAGTGCTGTGACCAAGTCACCTCTGCTCACAGCAAGCATGGCTTACTCTGGGGCATGGCCACATTCCCACATGGGAATGATATATGTTTGTGGATGTCACTGGTGACAAAATCCAAATCTGGGCTGGGGCATTTCCCTCAGCCAATAAACCAGGGAGCACACTTCTGTAAAATAACTGCATTCACTGAGAAAAGAGAGTACACTAAGATGTCCATGAAAATCAGCAAAGTAAATCATATCAATAGGGTTAAATTTGCAGTTAGGAATCTGCATTTCTACAGGGAAATTTTAGGATAGCCACAAATCAAAAAAACATTTAATTTTTGTTGTTTTTTTTTTTTCTTAGAAGGCAATCAGTCTTCTGATTTGGCTATTCTCTACTTTTCCCCATAAAGTAGAACCTACAGATACACTCAGAAACTATGTATGGAAGTACCTCTCAACTAAAAAATATTATTACTCAGAAGATCGAAACATGACTGTCTACACTGCGTGAATTACACATATATGAATTAGGACACAGACCCTTCCATTCTTTAGTAACAAAACTGATGTTGTCCTGAAAATGACATTAATGAATGAGACTGGTATATGAAAACTAGTCCTTCTGCATCCACTCTAGGGATTGGAATGAGGATGTTAAATGATGCAGCAGACAAGGAGGATGCACTGCTCAGGGAAGCTGAATGTCACTTCTGTGCTCAAACAGTTTTGCAGGTTGGATGAAGGTCACAGGTTATCTCCAGATACACAAAAATGAGTGATAAATACACTGTTTCTCTTAGATTGAAAGCAGAGCTAGACAAAGATTATTAAAATAAGGAATATTATTTAAAAATCATCCCCTGGATTTCTAAAGATGGCAATCTTCTATTAGAAGACAGTTTTCTACCGCCTCCATATATTAAAGCTATAACATAATAATAAAAGCACCTCAAACTTGTAGAAGTATTGAAGAGGCATAGATTAAGTAAGGTCTATGCAGAGAGAGTACCCTAAAAACATCACAAGAGCAGTGACAATTTCTGGGATAGTAATGACATGAATCAGAATCTAGAAGTTAAGTATAAGTGAAGAAGAGAATTTTTCAACTAATGGATCAGGGAAAATGTGGGAATAAAGGATGAGCTATGTGATTAAAGATCACAGTGTACTATATTAACACAGGTGGAGAATATATGACTTTAATTCTGTATTACAACATATTTCAACTGAACTGTGTGCAGTTTTAGCTTTATATGTGCACGATTTTTTTTAACACATTTTTAGAATGGGGAAACACAATAAAGGAAATGTGTTGTATTGCATTGATCCCCACATGACTCACTGGAATATCTTAATATTTCCAGCACAGATTCCCACTTCTTAAGATGAAAACACAGAGAAGATGAAAACATGTAACTGCCATTAAGAGAAGGTCTAAAATTTCAATTGCTGTCTGAACACAAAGGAGCTGTGACATGCTGTGGTTTCTTGATGCACTCCTGCAGTTAGAGACACATCTTTAACTACCCCACCCTCTCCCTCTTCCCCATCCACCACTGACTGATGCAGCTGGGAGAGTCAGTAACTGCAGAGCAAAATCTTGCCTACTTTCAGCTCTCCTGCCCCAGCAAATGCTCATCTTTTCTGGGAAGACGGACCTATGCCATAATCACACTGCACCTTGAAGAGAATGAAACCTTCCCTTCAGACACATGCATGTGACCAGGTTTTTGGAACTGCCTGATGTTGCCAGTTTTCCTCTGTTTTCCACAAAGAAGGGAAAGAACCTTGTATTCTCCTCCTCATGGTATTTCAAGTCTTAATTCCAAAGAGAGATGCCAGGACTTGTCATAGACATGACTAACAATTTTATGAGGACTGGCAAGACAGTTCATTTCTCCTACATCCTACTCACAGAAACCTTGGAATTATTTTGTCTGAAACACTTGGGGGAAGGAAGGTAGACTTAATTCTGGCAACTTTATTACATATTCAGTACATCTGACATCCTGTTATCAACAACAAAAATATGGTTTAATTATGATAAGCCATACTGATATCATTTACAATACATAAGCGTGAAGAAACAGCAGTGTTTTTTTTTCTTGATCCATGTGGAAAAATACACACCTTCCACCCCCCCAAAAAAGTAAGACAAGGCACAATAAATTCTCATAATTCTCTTTCTTCTGGCTTTTCAGTTCCATCACAGCTCTCTAAATTAAGATTTATGTGCTATTTTGCATCTGTATCTGTTGTTGATTTCCCCCCCCCCCCACAGGGATATAGGTGGATAAATTTGGACAGGAAACGATATCCCTCAAGCCAAACTGAAAGGTTTATAAAGTTGCTAATAAAAGTTTGGGTCAGGGCCTAAATATCAATCATCTGCTCATTGTCTTTTTAAATGAGCTCAGGCATTTTCCCAACTGCTCCCAGCAGGTCTCTGCCACTATTTTTAACTAAGATTTCAGCCATTTCTTTTTTTCTGTGTTGACCTCAATAATTTTTCTTCCTCTCCCTCTTTACCTGCCAAATGCATCCATCAGGATTTTGCCAGAGGCTATCTGCTTTTGAAGCTGAGAGGAATTCACTAGTCATAAGTGTCAAATCCACAGTAAGTGCCATTGCCATATGGTATATGCTGCTTTTGGGAATTATCTCAAAAGGCCTAGCTGTGAGAAGGCTGGCTGTATGTTAGGAGGGTTTTACTGCTAACCTTCATAACTCATGTCAGGTCTTTCAGTTTCTGTATTCATTGGCTTCAGTGAGTGCAACTGTTTCCTGAATTTATAAAAATGTTGTCAAGATCCCTTGATCTTGCTTCCTCCACCTCTCTCACACAAACACATCCGAACACATCTATACACAGTGGAATAGCATGCACAGTGGCATGCAAATCTAGCAAAAGAGAAGCTTGTAAATAAATAGCATGTCATTCTGCTTACTCAATAAATTCCTCTGGGTGTTAACCTCATGATAAATGTATCATAAGTCCCGATGAAGGCTTTACAGCCTGTCCCATCACACCATCCTGAGTGCAATTCTGCAATGCGTAGGAAGACATAGGTTTGAAAACCAGAGCAGAAATAGCTCCCATAAGGGCAGGGTGCTGACATAGTTGAAACATAACTAACTGGGAGCATTTGTTTTAGCTAAAGAAGACAGCGTCAGTGTCACATCTCTGTGCCTGTGGAGGTGTAATCTACATTCAAAGCTCCCACGCCGGCTTCTGTTATTCCTTCTGCCGGCTTTTCCCGGGGATTTTTTTTGATTTTTCCATGGAATTTTTCCCAGATTTTTTTGGGATCATTCCCTGTTTTCCCCAGATTTGCTGTGCCGGGCCCTGGGCAGCTCCCGGCGCTGTGGGCCGGGCTGGCGCTCCCACGCTGGCTCCTGTTATTCCTTCTCGGGGTTCGCGCTAGCTGGGGCCGCGCCCGCGCTGCCTGCGAGGACCTGGGGGCGCAGCTGGCCGTGGTCAGCGACGAGGCCGAGCAGGTGGGGGGATCCCGATCCCAAAATTCCCAAATCCCGAATCCCAAATCCATGCCCATCCCAAATCCTAAATCTCAAATCCATCCCGATCCCAAATCCCGAATCCGAAATCCATCCCCATCCCAAAAAATCCAAAATCCCAAATCCAAAATCCATCCCCATCCCAAAAAATCCGAAATCCCAAACCCCAAATCCATCCCGATCCCAAATCCCAAATCCATCCCCATCCCAAAAAATCCAAAATCCCAAATCCATCCCCATCCCAAAAAATCCCAAATCCCAAATCCATCCCGATCCCAAAAAAACCCAAATCCCAAATCCATCTCGATCCCAAAAAATCCCAAATCCCAAATCTCAAATCCCAAATCTATCCCCATCCCAAAAAATCCCAAATCCCAAATCCATCCCGATCCCAAAAAATCCCAAACCACAAATCCGAAATCCATCCCTATCCCAAATCCTAAAAAAAATCCTAAATCCCAAATCCAAAATCCCAAATCCTTAAAAATCCTGAATCCCAAATCCCAAATCCATCCCCATACCAAAAATTCCCAAATCCCAAATCCAAAATCCCAAAAAATCCCAAATCCCGAATCCATGCCCATCCCAAAAAATTAAAAATCCTAAATCCCAAATCCATCCTGATCCCAAATCCTAAAAAATCCTAAATCCTTAATCCCAAACCCCAAATCCTAAATCCATCCCCGATCCCAAATCCCAAATCCCAAAAACCAAATCCCAAGTCCCAAATCCCCAAACCCCAAATCCCAA